GGATATAGTCGACTACGTTTCTCGATGCTTTACTGTAGAGAATTAAGGTAAAACATCAGAGACTCGGTGGTTTATTATAAGGTCTCTGATGCTGAATTAAAATGGGAGTATGTAACTATATATTTTGTCACAGGATTGCCCAGGACTTGTTCTGGTCGAAATGCTATCTGGGTCGTCGTTGACAAACTGACCAAGACTGCCCATTTTCTACCCATCAGAACCTCTGACTCCACCAGCAAATTAGTCTGTCTATATGTTGATGAGATTGTTTGACTTCATGGTGTTCCCTCATCCATTATATTCGATCGCGATCTTCGATTTACCTCTCACTTCTGAGATAGCTTCCAAGAAGCTCTGAGGTCTGTATTATATATCAGCACTGCTTATCATCCTCAAACAGATAGTTAATCAGAATGTACAATTTAGACGTTGGAAAACATGTTGCGTGCTTCCGTCCTTGACTTTGATGATAACTAGTATGAGTATCTTCCCTTATGTAAATTTTCTTATAATAACAGTTATAGCCAAAGAAATCAATGATAACTTACAACACAATAACTACAATTGTAACTCCCACAATAACTAGGTTAATTATGTGATAATTACAATTGTAACTCCAAAAATAACTAGGCTAATTATAGGCATGTAATTGTTATGTAACTCCAATCTTCTTAACCAACACTACTAATTGTTTGCGGCACCATATCGTTATGAGCTCATTCTTATAATAACACTAAGACAAGACTTAAGCCCAAATGAGTTACACTTGATTATATGGGCTTAATTAACTCAAACTAAAATAAGACAATCTAAAATACTTAAAATAACTCAATTAATCCAGCTCTTACATAAGGCTTATTCACTCATTACCAATAAAACTCAAACAAGCCCAAATTATCCCAAATCATTTAAACTCAATTAAAGTTACGAATTTGAGCTGTTCAAAAAGCTCATATTTGAACTTTCCACAATTGGTCAAGCCATCATCCACATATTTTTGAGTGAAAATTTGGAGCAACTCTTTAAGCTTCTTTGCCTTTGATCTTGTTACTGGTCTGCTGAAACTTTTCGAGTTTGGAACTCTATTTGTGTTTACATCATTTGAAATTTGCTTCAAGTCACCTTTTTATGCTCTTTGAGTATCTTGAGTGTTTTTAGCCTTATTTGCATCAAGAGAGAATGAGAGAAAGAAAAAATGAACAGTGAAGGAGAAAATATCACGGTTTCAACAAAGAATTTAGTATTTTTTTTAACGTCTTAATGAGTATTTTTAAATAAAAAATCATTTAATATGATAATTGTGATTTTGTCTGTTTTACATGCTTTTATGTTTGTAGGTCTAATAAACCGAACTGTTCTTGTTTTCTAG